AACCCTCTTTCCTATTCTTTCTTCTTCAGAATTACCCCACCAAGAATCACACCAAAAAAACAACCCGATAGATTAGGACTCCATCGTAAGTGAATTATCAGAGGTTACGAGAAAAAAGATTGCTTTTTTAGAGAGAGTTTCTGTTTCTGTTTCTTGTTCTTCTCTTTTGTTGTTGTTGTCTTCGTTTCTTTGTTCTGTCTTAGATTTATTTTATCCGATCTTTTGGGTCTTTTCTTCGAAATAATTTTGTGACCGTTAGATTAGGGGAGGTTAAGGTTGCTGTCAGAAGTTTACAGTAACTGCTGTCTAAATAGGACAATGGACGGTTCAGATTTATCTGGGTTATTTCTGTGGATTTTGGTTGTTGGATTGTAATTGGTTGACAATGTTTGTTTTTTTTTTGCACAACTGCTTTGTTTTTTATTTATTTCTTGAGAATCAATTAATAAGGCACGAGGTTGGGGCTCGGATAATTAATGATTTTTTCTCTCTATATTAAGGTTTTGAGTATGAATTTAAAGGAAATCACGAGATATATCCAAGGTAAAGTTTTTAGTTAAAATTGTATGATATTGACATGGAAAAATATGATTGATTTGATTGTGTTTTTAATGGTTTGATTAATATAACTAAATCAGGTTGAGTGAACAAAATCATAATCATAATAATAATAATAACTTTCTTATAGGTTGATTTGATAATCCAATAATATAATTTTTTTTTATTGGTCGTCGAAACTAGTTTGCTTACTATATAGCTAATACTAAATCAAAAAAATAAATTTTGGATTATATAAAAAGTAGTCTAGAAATATATGATTTTTAAAGAAATAAAACAAAGCTAAAACTAATTTTTTAATAAGATGTTTTGAAAATATGATTTTTAAATAAATAAAACAAAGATAAAACTAATTTATTAATACAGTATTTAAGAATTTGACGGTGGTTATATTTTAAAGATATTATTATATTAAAATTATTTAAAAATATAGATAAAAAATTAATTTTAAATAATAAAAAATAAAAATAAAATTTAATAAATTTCTATTTAGATCACCCTCTTTTAAAAAATGGTCAAGGGGCTAGCCAATTAGCTTTGTTATTGAGTTAACCATTTTTTATAAAAAGGGGTTGCTTAGCGTGTTGGTCCATTGTGAGAAGTGAAAATTGTGGGAATACGAGGTTGCTTAAATATATAGTGATTTAATTGACTTAGTTAAATTTAATTTAATATGTTGGCTTAACATTAAAAAAAAAAACCCAACTTTTTTTATTAAAAAATTGACTCAGTGATATAATGAATTTGTTTTAGGAATTTTTTTAATGAATTTCTTATAACATATTATTGTGAGATATTTTGTAAATTGATGACAAGATTAACCTTTTAATTATGATGATTTGCGTTTAGAATGGCGTGATTAGGGATAAAATGCCTTTATCTTCTTTGTTATTTGTTGGTTGAAAATATTATTTATTTACGAATTTGATAAGATTATCATGTGCCCTCATGTGTCTTGGAGGTTTTCGGGTAGTTAGGAATTAGGAATTGATTCTGTACTCCTCGTTCGTTGATTATTCCATCCTGGTTAGGCAGACTTTGGGGATTTATTTATCTCCTTTATTGGAAGAATTGTTGGAATTGTACTATGGAAGATGGCTTGGAGATGTATAAACCCTCTTTTCTACATTACAAAAATATAATTATAATCAATTTATTATACGGGTCCAATTTTAGCATCAGTGCAATAGTTGGGAAGGTGTATGATCTTTATAATTATTAGAATTTAAATCTTAAGTCAAACTAAAAAATAAATTCTTATAATTTGATTTAATATCCGTGCAAAAAAAAAAATATTGTATGAATATGTCGCTTGAAAATAGAATAAAAAATTAATTCAATTGATCCCGTGGTTTTCTTATTTTTCTCGACAATCCCGTGATTAGGGATTTGGTGCATTTAAGGCGAGTAAATTGAAGATTCATAGTATATTTAAGATTGTGGAGATTGCTTTTTAAAATATATGCTTAAAAAATATAATAAAATATTTTTTTATTTTTTAAAAAATTATTTTTAATATTAATATATCAAAACAATCTAGAAAAAAATAATTTTAAATAACAAAACTATTTTTTTAAAATATACAATTAAACCATAAAAACAAACATAACCTCAAGCAAAATAACAAGAACATGACTAATGTATTACTTATGAAACAATAATAAAGTAGTTTATCAAGGGTGAATTATGTTAAGCAATGTTATTAAACCTGTATTGATTCATTAATTTGCTTATAATTTAAGTTATAGTTTGGGTACTTAATTTTGGTTATTGTGAATTAATTTAAAATAATTTTGTTGCAAGTTTTATTTTAAAAAAAATTAAAATAATAATATTTTTTAAATAATAAATCAAGTTTAACTGAGTTGACTATATCATACTTTAATATAAAACTTAATTTAAAATAAATATTAAATTATTTTTATATATTTTATTGGACGAGGTTTAATAATATCTATGCTTAATAACTTAAACAGTAAATCATTAAAACTAGCTTGAAAGAAATATATTTGTTTTAACATTTTAAAAATAATTTTTTATATTTTTAATTTATTTTAATCAATTAATATCAATAATAATTTTTTAAAACATATTATTTTAATAAATTTTCAAAATCAACCTATCATCACATTTTAAGATGCTGATTACTGCCTTTAATTGATTATTGTATTGTACAGGGCGTCATCACCGATCAATCAATCCCTTAGTTAATTTAATTTATTTGTTATTGTTTTTTTTTTGTCATAACACTACCGGGCTCCCCACGTTATCCATAACTATCGTAAAAGTGAGGGAAAACCTCGACTCGAGAAACAAGATTTTTTATTTAAAAAGATGTAAGCAACCAAACAATCTGAAGTTATTATGATTAATTAAATCAGATAGCAGTAATAGTTTAATTCAATAAAATAAAAATAATTTTAATCAATTCAGATATCGAAAATAAAATTAATAAATAATAAGCATATTTAAATTTATAATTGATTTTACATCAATGTTCCTAGATGCATATTAATAAATAATACATACATGTTTAAATTAAAAATAAAATAAAATTAGTAATTATTAGTAAAAATACTTTTAAAATAATAAAATATTTATTGTTGTTAATAATAAATTTATTATTCTTAATACTTTATTAACCTTTACTTAAATAAATAAACTAACTTCAATAGGACTTCAAGATTTTGATAACCCCTTGTTGTTTGGATATGCTATTAAATATTATCAAATAAACTACACTTAATGTCTCCCATGAACATCAAACCTCAGTTGTAGAGTAAAAAAAAGAAAAAAAAAGAACAAGTCTAAGAAAAAAAAGAGGAAGAAACTTGAGAATTTATAAAATGTATTGTTATCCATTCAAGATGCGCCCGCAAACATAATATATATATCAAGAATATTAACTACTCATAATTCATAAATATTTGTTGGTTACGAGAAATGTTTATAATTTATAAATGTTCATAGTTCATGAATTTCTTATAAATACTTTTATTTTTATTACATGATTAATGTATTAATTTATGCACAAAGACATTTTAGAGGCTAAAAGAAATTAATCATCAAACATGGACTGAATAACAAGAATATTTGTTCAATAATAGCTCACAACTACCCAATTCACAAAATTATTTTGTGTTTGAAACTCTTACCATCCAAAAATTATTTGATAATAATTTCTTACTAATATTTAATTAATTTTTTAAAATATGTTAATATTTCATATTAAAATACCCCTGTTGGATCATAAAATCTAATTTGATTTTAACATCAAATATGAGTGGACCTCATACATATTTTGATATTAAAAAGCCTACTATATATTGTATAAACCGATTTCAACATAAAAAACCAAAGAAATAAAGATTTTAAAATAAAGAGAAAATAGAAGAAAGCTATTAACGATAAGGAAAATATATGATAACAAAGTCCTGCACACCCATTTTTATCTTTTAATATTATTAAAATTGTTTTTAATCCCTTTGCAAAATCAATAAGAAATCAAACCCTACTTTGTCCACCCCCCATCAAAAGAAAAAAAAAACACCTTTTATATGAATTTAGTTTGTCAATCTCATCCAAATACCTAATTGAATTAGTTTGAATTTGAATTTGACTATAATATAATTTGTTTATTAAATGAGTTTTGAAAATATGCTTAAATTGATTCTTAATTATTTTTATTTGCATAATTCAAGCTAATTAAGGCCTGAATTAACATGTCACCAATAGATAAACCGGGCGAACCGGGTTTCATGACCATCTCAGTCTCAGTTTTAAAATCATAAAATTAATTTTTTTTGGTAAAAATTAACACCCATATTAAAAAAAAATTAAAAAAATACACGGCGACATCCACACTTGCCTAAGGATGAACTTCCAAGTTGCAGCGCTGAACATGCTTGGAAACGACACCCAGCTGTCCACATGGAAAGCAAGGCTGGGACTTGGTATGCAGATCTGCGGACCGTCGCCTAATTTTGATTTGCTTACACTGCTTCTGCTCCTAAACATTGTGTCGGCTATAGAATTTCTTTTTAATTTCATCCTGGATACTTTTTATCCTTTTCAACTATTACATTGATATAAATTACCCCTTTGCTTCTTTTTTTTTTATAATTTTTTTCCTTTTAAAATTTAATTAATTTTTAAAATTTTATTTAATTTTTCTATATAGCTATCATAATTTTAAATAAACATTACAATATTTGATATATATTTGATTTTGTAAAAATAATTTTTAAAAAATTTATCAAACATAATAAAATTTATAATTCAAGTTACAAGTTTGTAATGTTATGCCAAGATTAATTTAATATTAAAAATATTATCTTGATATTTTTAAATTAAATCATAAATCTTTAAATTTATAATATCAATCAAGTTATATTAAAATAATTTTTAAATTTATATTTATACTAAGTAAAGAGGGCAGTTGATAAATTTTAAAGTTGATACACCGAATAAAATTTAATAATAATATTAAATAATTTTTTATAATTTAAATATGTTTTTTTATATTTAGAAAATCCTAATCAATACTCCGCTTACAAACCGGTTGCATTTTTATCTTATTCGGATGTCGTGTTCCCCACTTTTAATTCTTTGATTGCATGTATAAGGATGACGGGGGCTTAGAGCAGCAAAACAAGACTGGATGTTCTTCTGATCTAAATAAACAGAAGGTCAACAATGGTGGTCAGCAGGTCAAGGGCATATCAGTAAAACAAGGTGATATCATATCACCTTCTTTTTATCTATTCAAGTCCCAGTAAGCATTCACAAAGGAGGATGTCTGTATTCATTGGATATTCTAGCCATCTGGTAATACTGTAGTCCGTTTCCATGGCCCACTTGCCCCCATGACCCCATGCATAGTTTGTATGCAGACCTCCGTGTGAACTTTGCACTGCCAGCTAATATATGAGTTCTTGGACTTGGACGCTTTTCTCCCGTACCACAACCGTCAGCTACGCGAGTCGTAGCAGGCTCAGAAAGTGTTTGACTCCTTTCCTTTGTCGTAGACAGATCCAAAACCGTGCCTGTTTCGGTAATTCACCAGCCGCCTTCTTTTTTCACCGCCTGAAAATTCTTTATTCCTCTATAAATTCTCAACGCCTCTACGTCATCCTAAACTCTCTCAGGCTCTCCCTGTTTTGTGCAATTAACCCCTCTGCTTCTCCTATAAAGATATCATAGTTTTTTCTTTAATAATCCTCTGTAATCATGTTGGTCTATCAAGATCTTCTTACTGGTAATTCAAAGACTCTTTCTTTCGTTGTTTCTTTCTTCTGAAACTCGTTTGATGATCTGGGTTTTGTTTTTTATTCTGTTATTGGTTGTTTTTGTTGATGGTTTGTTTGTTTTTATAATCTTGTTATTGGGATTTGTTGCTTTAACTTTGTACTTCTGTCTTTGGATGATAAAAGGTACTGGGAATTTATTATTATTATTATTATTATTATTATTATTATTATTATTATTATTATTATTATTATTATTATTATTATTATTATTATTATTATTATTATTATTATTATTATTATTATTATTATTATTATTATTATTATTATTATTATTATTATTATTATTATTATTATTATTATTATTATTATTATTATTATTATGAGTTATTGAGTAAGATTTATCTAGAACTTTGAATTTGATTTTAACATGTGTTTTGAACAAGTTTATGAGCTTGAGGTATTTTTCCTTTAATATCAGTCTATCAGGGAAAATAAAAGCAACTTGTTACTTTGTTAGTATAGTTATGGCTTGAAGCTTAATTTGGGTGATGATTTTGATTTGTTCAAGGACACGAGGACAATTTGGTTTGTGCCCAGAAGCTTAATTTCGTTATTAATTTCAGGTGATGAGCTTCTCTCTGATTCATTCCCATACAAGGAAATTGAGAATGGAGTGCTTTGGGAAGTGGAAGGAAAGGTTAGCATTTTCTTCCTATTTCTTGGTCTCAATTTCGGTTTCCTTTAAGCAACGTTGTTGTTAAATATTCTGTTGAATACAGAAGTTGTCAGTTTGAAGCAATTTGAATTTCTTTGTATGTGTTTTTGTTTCTACAGTGGGTTGTTCAAGGATCAATTGATGTAGACATTGGTGCTAACCCTTCTGCAGAAGGTGGAGATGAGGAAGGTGTTGATGATCAGGCTGTCAAGGTTGTCGATATCGTCGACACTTTTAGACTCCAGGTTGGTGAGCTAGATTGGATTTTTGTCTTCCACTGTTATACTTTTTAAATTTCTTGGTATCTAAAATAGTTCTTTCCTGTAAAACTGCAGGAGCAACCTGCTTTTGACAAGAAGCAATTCGTTACCTACATTAAGAGGTACATTAAGTTGCTGACACCCAAACTGGAGCCAGAACAGCAAGAGGTGTTCAAGAAGAACATTGAGGGAGCTACTAAGTTCCTGTTTCCAAAGCTCAAAGACTTCCAATTGTATGTGCAATTCATTCTTTTCTCCATGGGAAATGGTTCTTAAATTCTCGTGATTTAACCTGAATTTTCCTTGGCTACTCTAATTAGTTGAGGTTATAACATTGCAGCTTTGTTGGGGAGAGCATGCACGATGATTGCAGTCTGGTGCTTGCATACTACAAGGAAGGTGCTACTGATCCAACTTTTCTCTACTTTGCTCATGGCTTGAAGGAAGTCAAGTGTTAAACCAGTCTCTTAACAGATAGCCACTGCACAGCCACCTTTGAGATGAATGTGTTCTCTGTAGTATTAGAATTTTAGTATAAGCTTTTCAAAATTTATATAAGATAGAAATATGCTGTTGGGACTTTGATGACAGTTTTGGAGTGGCATGTTAAATTCGTTCTTCTTAGATGTTTTCATGGGACAAGGTTTTATTATATACTTAATGGAGGAATAAGATGCAATTACTTGTATGCTTGCTTTGTCATAATCATCAATCCAGAAAGATTTACCGTGTGAAAATGCTTAATATATCATATGATGTGGTCTGGATGTGTTTTTTTCTTCATAATCTTTCTCTGTGGTGGGTTTGAGTACAAGCGTTAAGAGCTAGTGAAATAAATTTGGCATTTGAAAAATGAATAATTAAAGTTAGAAACAACCTTGTGAGGTCCCCTTTTCACTCAACGACAATTTTTTTACAAGCTTATTAGTAGACAATACTATGAGCTTCATGTTATCAAGACCATGTCCTGGTGAACAGAACTTAATCAAGCACTGCATTGAAGCTTTGGAAAGATATCGTTGATAAGCCATTCCGCCATATGTTGGTAAGCCTTTTGTGTCAAATGAATTCCATCCCAGCTGATGTGCTGATCAGGGTTTGGACAAACTGGAACGCCAAGAGCTCCACACATTCTCCACAGGCTAAAATTATGATCACCACCGGTCCCACAGCAAGCTTTTTGTATCGTCTTCGTGTCAAAACCTATATAAAAAAGGAAGGAGACGATGATGTAAGATTTTGTGCTGGGTCCAGTATAGTTTCTCTACCATTTACAAGGATCTTGAAAAGAAACTCACCAAGAGACTGAGCATTCTGATAGATCGACATGAATGCTTTGTAATAGTCACCGTAAACTATGATCACATCAGGGTAATTTTTTTTCAATTCGTCAACGGTTTGCTTGAGAAGCTCATTGTGATAACTTGCAAAAGAGTTTAACTCCTTGAGGCAGTGGAACTCATCATAAGCATCAGCATCATTGGGCTCGAATTGGCTAAGATAAACCGGGAAGCAACCTATCGGGAAGTTTCCGGGGACAACCACTCGTCTAGCACCGTAACCAATGACTTTCTACAAGATCATATTGAACAACATTCATAAACAAAAACAATATAGCTAGAAATTTACGAGGAACAAACTAACATGCCTCAACAGCATCCTTTATAGCTTTGACAACTCCAGGAACCAACGCTTTCGTTTCTTCAGTGGTTTTGCTAAACATGAAAGCATAGTTATAGTCATTGCCTCCAATCTCCCCAACCATGAAGAGAGATGAATTAATTTCTTTAGCACAATCTGTGAAGCAATAACTGTCAGGAATGATGGTTGGAAAAGGATTTAACTATTGAAACATCATATGAAACATGTCGATTACCTTTAGAACATGTGTTAAAATAGGTGAACATCCACTCAAGTTGTGTGCTAAGAGATTCCTTTGTCACCACGTTCATTATATTCTTTGATAATAAAACTTCTGCAGGCAAGGCAGTTGAACCAGCAACCGCAAAATTCACTCCACTGCAGCCACCGAAAAAAATTCTTGCCGGATTCAAGTAGGCATCAAGATAGGGAAGTTTAGCCGAGCGTGCTGCAATAGTTCAGAGAAAAGTTAACACAATCAAGCAACTTCTACTGCAAAATAGGTTAGAAAGAGAGTTATAAACCAGAATTTGTAAAATAATGTAATTTATCATAATAATATAGGAAATCTACCGCCTTTAACTTGAATAATTCTCTGATATTATACATTGTAATATTTCTGAACATTTAGAACAAGAAACTTTTTGGATTAAGGCCGCATGGTTGCCCCATTAATCCCAACGGTTCAATGTGTCAGATTTTCTTGATGATTAGCATTATTTACAGATTAAGGCTTTGTTTGGCTGGCTTTGTTTTTTCAGGACAAACACAATTTGAAACGTCGCGTAGACAAGCAGGAAACTTACCAATGTAATCAATCATCAATAACCCATTGGAGCATCTACCGGTTGGCTTCTTGAGACTCATACCATAAGGAAACCAAGCATATCGAGAAAGAGGATTTTCTACAATCAAATTGCCAGTGTCAGCTATAGAATCCCCAAGTTGATAAATTGCTTTAAACCCGCATTTTTGAAGAACATCTACATCATGGCTAAATACAGGAACTAGAAGAAAATGGCACAAAGAGGAAAGAACAAAAGCACAAAGAACGTTGCTGGTAGCCATAACACGAGATTTACTATGTGTCCTTAATTTGTCAATGAAAAGATCAAAGGAAATTGTCGTGTATTCATACTATTTTTCTGCCCACAAAGTCCGGATATTTCTGTCTTTGAGGGAAAAAATGGAAGCCTCTTGCAAGGAATGTGGAGAATACATAGCATTAGCCAGCTGTGTCTTTTACAGTCCATGGTGGTTTTCTGTTAATCTTTCTAGGAACATGACCAAAAACACCTTATAATTGGATACATATCCAATCCACTTAATAGTCGAAAGATGAAAGGGAAATCTCTGTAGAAGCAGCAAGTCGAAAGATGAAAGGGTGGTGTCTTGCATGGTTGTGTCAGGGTGTAAAGAAGCTACGTAATCGAAGTTGTCCTCGATTCCAAGCCGACAAACTGAGTCATTTCCCATTCTGTTTATTAAAGTTATTATTTGTTTTTATATTTTAAAAATATATTTTTTAAAAAATTTAATTTTTTAATTTTTTTACTTTAAATTAATATTTAATATTTTTTGATGTTTTTAGATCACTTTAATATATTAATATAAAAAATAATTTTTAAAACATAAAAAATATTATTTTAATATATTTTCAAATTAAAAATATTATAAAAAATAATTATAACTATACTTGGCCTAACAATCCAGAAAATCCACAACTTGGAGCTGAGATTTAATTTGAGCTGAAAAAAAATATTGCTTGGCATGTTGATTCATCATCTATTTGTCTCAGCCAAACCCATCCATATAAATACTAAGAAATTTTATTTTTTTTAAAAAATGAGATAATATTTATGTGATATAGAATATTGATCCAAAATGACCTAGATTATTTTTTTTTGTTATTAGTTAGTGATATCAACTCAACGAGTTTTTTTCTTTCAAGATGAATTATTTGTATTAATTCTACATTTTACCTATATGGATAGAGGATAAAGTGGCTTGATAAGAAGATGATTGTTATGAAGCTTATGCTGCAATTGGTGTTGCTAAAGTTAACAATGTTGTTGTTAAAGTTAATAATGTTGGACACTATTTTGGTGTCATTTACAGTATTAATTAGTATTTTTTATTTTTTATATGAATACTTGTTTATAAATAAATAATGTATTTAAAGCTTAATTACATCAAAAGGAGCAGAGTAAAAGAAAAAAAGTAATTCTATAAAATTAAAAGATATTTGTCAGAGAGTAAATGAGATGTTTTCTTTTAATAATAGAGAAATTTCAACTATTTTTCTATTAATAAAGAGATATTGTAATTTTCATATTACTTAGTAGAATATTTTTATATTTCCTTGTTGGCATAGTTAAATTTGAGTGAACTACATAAATTTTTATATATCATTTATTATTTTATCTTTTATCTTGATAAATTTATATGCTAATATTCTAATAATTGTACTATAAAAAAAGCAAGGTGGTTAGCCTCTTTCAAATATATAATATGGATTCTGGTAATTTAATAGAGTTGGATTCCTGAATGAATTATTTTTTTTATAAATATAAATCTTTGCCTGCTAAGCAATAGAATAACAAGTTATAAATTTGTCTTGGTAAAATATTCATGTATTTTTTCTATCACTATGAAATTTATAAAAAAAATAAAATATTCAAAGATGGGGTTATTGTTATCCTTTTCTCTTAGAAAAATATAATCTCTTGATTATAAATTCATGACACTTAATTTACATACTTGTTCTTGTATTGATGAATTAAAAAAAATATTTATTTATATGATTCTAATTATATTCCAATCAATAAATAAAAAGTTTTTATATTAAATATTATAATTTTATTATCGAATTTAAGAAAAAAAAACAAATACAATTTTTCTCCTTTTATCCTCATCAGAATCCGACCACCCAAATTCATGTTTCCTTTTGCAGCGTAGCTCGAAAAAATTGCAGTTAGTGAATCCGAGTTTTTTTCTGAGGAAAAGACCAGTAAAGCACCTCTGCTAATTCAGAGCCATTATTATTATTATTATTTTTTGATTTACGTGGAGTGTCCGGAGCAGCTGGTACGCACCACGACTAATCTCCATGGCCCACTGAATACCCTGCAAACCCAGTAGGCATTAAAGGCACCGCGAGAGTGACAGACATGTATATCAGGGCTCGAACCCATGTGCAATAGAAGAAGTTTGGCTCCTGCCACCGCTAGGCCAAGCCCCTCGGTGTAATTCAGAGCCATTATTGATAAGACTAATGGCATAACAACGGATCAATTCAAGACTAATCTTTCTCCGTGGAGGGGTTTGAATAAAGGCATCAAGAGCTAGTGAAATAAATTTAGGATTTGAAAAATGAATAATTAGAGTTACAAACAACCATGTGAGGTCCCTTTTAATTCAAAGTCAATAATATTTTTACAGGCTTAATTGTAGACAAAATTAAGAGCTTTATGCTTGTTGTAATTCACTTTTGACTTATTGGTTTTTTAATTTAATTTACAGAATTTAAAATATCAAATTAAAATATCAATTTTTTTTGATAAAAAATATAATTTGCTAACTTGTACAAAAACTAGGGACTACAATATATTTTTATCATTCTATCTTTATTTTAAAGATAATTCATATTATCAAGATAATGATAATTATTTGCTTTTAAATTTGATTCTTAATTAAATTTAAACTTAAAAAAAATTGATTACAACTTTTGTTTTACATGCGAAAAGACTGTAATATTATAAATACAGACTTCAGTATATGCATCAAAGAACAAAAAAATACAGAAAGAATAATACCAATTTTCCTAGCAACGAGTGTCTACATCAATCTTTACTCAAAAAATTGACAACAACAATCCAACAATAAGTAAGTCATTTTGTCCCTTTCTTTTCACTTTTAATTACCTCTTTCTTGTAGCAAGTGTGTGCGAGTAACTCGCGCAAGCTTGCAAAAAAAAAAATATTAGCCGAGTTATTGGTCTGAACCAGTAACCAAGCCAGTAAACCCAGCCCATATGGCTCGGTTAGATCCAATTCAAAAGGAAAAAAAAGAGTGGGCTGGATTTGGGATTCAGGCACAACCTGCACAAATTATGTTTGCTAAGGGTATGCTTGGTAAAATATATCATCATGCTTTGACTATAATTTTTATATCCATTCTAATTTGATATTTTACTAAACAAACTCCATTTCAAAAATATAAAATTTCAAAAATATTTGAGAACCTTTTCTGATTTATTTGTGGGCCACTCACACTTTGTTTTATTTTTTTCTTTAATTTTGTTTGCATTTTTTGTAGACATGTTCAATCTGTGGACTATTACTGTTAAATGTAAAGATGTCGTGCAATATTTTTTTTTCCACTTCCGTCTAAAAAAGTCAAATAATAATAAAGGATAAACAAGAAAAAAATAACAAAAAATTTCTTTTTCAAATTCATTTTCTACGAAAATATTCACTGATACTAGAGTTAGGAGTATCATATTTTTTGAATTTGTGCAATATTTCCAATGCTAGAGTTGAAAATATTTGTAGAAATTGTTCACTGATGCCGAAGTCAGGAACATGAAAGGGAGAATAAAAAAAAAAAATTGTTTTTTTAGCAATTTTAGATAAAACCAGCAATGCAACTTGGCTAAGATAGGATGTTTAAGGAGTGATAATATTTTTTTTTTTTTGTGTAACTAGTCCCATACTATAAAATTTATATTGATCTATTAGGGTTACTATTGATTGTAATAATAGAAAGTGAATCCTTTCAGAAGATTTTTTTCTTTAAAATAATAAAATATCATATATATATATATATATATATACATATTTCCAATTAGAATTTAATTTTTTACCGAACACCACGATGTCCAAGTGTGATAATGTTATCAAGTTCATGTCTCGGTAAGAACAGAACTTTCACATCAATTACTGCATTGAAGCTTTGGAAAGATATCGTTGATAATCCATTCTGCCATGTGTTGATAAGCCTTTTGTGTCAAATGAACTCCATCCCAGCTGATGTGCTGATCAGGGTTTGGACAAACCGGAACGTCAGGAGCTCCACACATTCTCATCAGGCTAAAATTATGATCACCACCAGTCCCACAGCAAGCTTTTTGCAACGACTTCGTATCAAAACCAATTTAGAAAAAGAAGGAGACGATGCTGTAAGCAGGAAAAAGAAGGAGACGATGCTGTAAGCAGTAACTGGTTTTGTTAAACATGAAAGCATAGTTATAGTCATTGCCTCCAATCTCTCCAACCATGAAGAGAGATGATTTAATTTCTTTAGCACAATCTGTGAAGCAATAACTGTCAGGAATGATGGTTGGAAAAGGATTTAACTATTGAAACATCATATGAAACATGCCGATTACCTTTAGAACATGTTGTGTTAAAATAGGAGAACATCCACTCAAGTTGTGTGCTAAGAGATTCATTTGTCACAATGTTCATTATATTCTTTGACGATAAAACTTCTGCAGGCAAGGCAGTTGAACCAGCAACTGCAAAATTCACTCCACCGCGGCCACCGGAAAATTTTCTTGCTGAATTCAAGTTGGCACCGGGGATAGGGAGGTTTAGCCGAGCGTGCTGCAATAGTTCAAAGAAAAGTCAATACAATCAAGGAACTTCTACTGTAAATGAGGTTAGAAAGAGAGTTAAGAACCTGCATTTCATAAGATTATGTAATTTATCATAATAATATAGGAAATGGACAGTCTTCAACTTGAATAATTCTGATAGACACTGTAATATTTTTTAACAAGAAACTTTTCGGGTTAAGGCGGCTTGGTTGTTGCTGAAGAAGAAGAAAGTTTCAGGAAAAAAAAACAAGAGAAAGGGAATAGAAGCAAGAAAATTAAACAAAAACAGGCCAAATGACACGGAAAGTAATGCAAAACGTAGAGAAAATCTGACAGATAAAAATTTACGGGCCCCATCAACGATGTGTCGGATTTTCTTGATGTTTAGCATTATTTTGCAGATCAAGGCATAAAAATCATATAAAATGAAGCCTTTTCAAGTCAAACACAGTTTGAAACTCAGCAGCATTACCGCTTAGAGAAACAGTGAAATCAAGAATATCGTAACTTACCAATGTAATCAATCATCAACAACCCATTGGAGCATCTACCTATTGGCTTGAGAGTTTCAAACCATAAGGAAATGAAGCGTATGGAGAAAGAGGATTTTCGCGAATCAAATTGCCAGTGTCAGCTATAGAATCCCCAAGCTGATAAATTGCTTTAAACCCACATTTTTTAAGAACATTGACTTCACGACTTGATACAGGAACAAGAAGAAAATGGAAAAGAGAGGAAAGAACTAAAGCACATACAACGTTGCTGCTGGTAGCCATAATTGACTCAAGAGATTTACTACGTGTCCTTAATTTGTTAATGAAAAACCAAGGGAAGTAGATGTGTATTTATACTATTTTTCTGCCCTCAAAGTCCCGATATTTCTGTCTTTCAGGGGAAAAATGTGAGGCTTCTTACAGGAAAGTGGAGAATACAGAACATTAGACAGCTCTATCTTACAGTTTATGGTGGTTTTCTGCTAATCTTTCTAGAAACATGACCGAAAACACCTCATAATTGGATTCATATCCAATCCAGATAATAGTCGAAAGATGAAAGGGAAATTTGTAAAAGTGGAGAATACAGAACATTAGCCAGCTCTATGTTACAGTTTATGGTGGTTTTCTGCTAATCTTTCTAGAAACATGACCAAAAACACCTCATAATTGGATTCATATCCAATCCAGATAATAGTCGAAAGATGAAAGGGAAATTTGTGTAGAAACGCGAAGTTTTTGGTGGTTTCTTGCATGGTTGTGCCAGGGTGTGCTTGCTTGCCACATATGGTTGAGATAAAGACTGGTTGCTATTAACTTCAAAAACCCACAATGGAATGGAACGTTTCCATTTCATTCCGGCGTTCTGGTCAAATAACATTTGTTTTTTTTTTTTTTAAATATTATTCATCATGATTTTAATTTGAACTAAAAAAAACATTGACTGGGCAGGTTGACTTACGACTTGGTTCTCCCATTTAAATTCCATTAAATCAATACCAAAAAAAAAAAATATCAATTATATTTCTTAATTTAATTATTATATTAGAACAAAATTTCAAGATAAATCTCCTTATATATTATATATTGGCTAGTGATTTAGAATCTTTTTAGAGCCAAACTCCTTGGTTATGGCAATCATATTTCCTTGGTCTAGTGATTTAGAATCTTTTTAGAGCCAAATTCCGCATTGGTTATGGCAATTATATTTCCTTGGTTAAAAATTTTAAGGTAATTAAAATTTATAAAGTTTGAAAGAATACTGATAATATTTTTATAACTTTGTTTAAATTTTTAACTTTATTAAGAAATGTTATTTTTTTGTGTTGATTTTTTCTTGATTTTATTATTTAATAATAAATGTATTGTTAATTTACTTGTATAATTTATTTTGATTTACTTTATTTGAGATTATTATAACCTTATAATCCAAGTCATGAATTTGAAAAATTAATTTAATATGCTATCATTTTAAAAAAAAATTTAAAAATATTGTCTTGAATTATTTTTTAGTCAAAATATATTTTTACCCATCATTCAATTTGTTTTTAAACTTTTCAAGTTAATTAGGTTATATCGGTTCAACCCCTACTTTTTACTTGTATTTGAAATTTAGGTTGTATAATTTCAAGTTAATTTATTTTTAAATTAAAATTAAAATTATTTTATTGAATAAATATTTTAAATTATATATATAATAATAATAATTTAAATATAATATGAACAATACAATCTTGAAATAGCATGTTGAAACACTTCAAAACTTAAAAATATCTTTTCAATTGAAAAAAATAAAATATTAATTGAAATGAAATTGACAATTTTGCTACAAAGGATAATAACAACTTGCTAAGAATATTCATTTTCTTTGAAAAATAATATAGTAAAACTTAGTTTTTGAATAAAATAATAAAAATAAAAACTTATTTATAAAAATAATACAATAATGAGACATATAAATCTTAGATGTGTAACTTGAAATCCGCATGACTCACATGGGCATCATAACATATTTATTTATTTATTTATTTATTATATTTAACATGTGTGATTTATTAATAGTTTTAAATATAATTTTTTTTAATATCTGTATATTTATCCTGTCAATTTTTTTTTAAATATCTTCTCTATGTTACTTTATCAGGTTAGGAGTCTGAGATACAACAGCCAGAAACACAACATCAAAAATCCCGTCTGCCTCGACTTGTCCAGCAATTTCTTTCACAAGCTTGGTGGCATCCTATACTTTCCAACTAGGTCAACACCACCATACTTGTCCCCTAGCTCACGTCGGGCAAGAAGGTAGGGGCACCCTATCAAATTTTCCATCCATGATTTCAGAAATTACTCTTTTACTGAAGAGAAAGTGAAATCGTGTTTAAAGTAATTTTCCTCCCTTTTTTATTTTTTAAAGAACAATTAAAGAAAAAAAAAATTGAAAGTTTAAAATCAAGCTATCTGAATGATGAGCAATACAAGATAACTTAATTCACTGATTTTTTTTATTTTTTTAAACGATTTTTGACCCCAAAGACTTACTGATGATTAGATGATATATATATATATATATATTGGAATAAGATGTTTCAATCACGTCATTAATCATCTAGATCCTGATATAGATATTAATATGTCAATTTTCTCATAACGGAAGTGCATTTAATGAACATAATCAAAATTGATCATGCTCTTACTCTTCACTACAACACACCACAGGGCAAAAAAAAATAACAGAAAAAATTCATCTTCTGAAATTACAAAAAAAAATAGAAGGGAAAAGGGTTACACGACGTGGCTTTATAGCTAGTTTATGCGTAGTAGTTAAGGCTGGCTTTTTTCTTCGCTTGCACTTGGATGATACCTTCATTAAAATCCTCATGGTTCACCTGTTTCCAAATCCAACCAATACAAGAATTTAGTAAGCACTTAGTAGCTTGCAACCAGCAAAGCAAATGCAGAAAACAAGTGAAGCAAAATTAAATTCTTTTTGTAGACAAGGGTATTTATGTAATTTTCCATATTTGTTCATGCATATACCTAATCAACCCTACAACAATTACCTATCAAAGATTCAGCCTAAAATCCCCCAAAACACTGTTCAAGAACTATTCACAGCTCAGAACAGCCCCCAAAGGGGTCCTGCATCATGTCCTCTTGTTTTTTGACTATTGAGAAACCAGATTCAAACTGTAGCCAATACTATCGTTTGACAAGAAAGATGCTGAAGAGTTCAGTTTTTTATTATTATGTTGACAAGTCAGGCTTTCACTCGTCAAAATAATTGTTCTCAGATTAGAAAATGAAACAGGATATGCGTGAGAGAGTACCTCAGTTGCATCCCGGCGAAGTGCTAGCATCCCAGCTTCAACACAAACTGCCTTTAGCTGTGCCCCATTGAAATCATCCGTGGAACGAGCAAGCTCTTCAAAGTTCACATCAGGATGGACGTTCATCTTCCTTGAGTGGATCTACAACATCAGAGGAAAAAAAAATACAATCAAGACTATTGTTTTCACGTGAAATACAAGTGAAAAGGGACATCCAAACAATTCTGTCACAACAAACCTGCAAGATTCGAGCTCTTGCTTCTTCAGTTGGATGTGGAAATTCGATTTTGCGATCCAAGAGCTAGTGAAATAAATTTAGGATTTGAAACATGAATAATTAGAGCTGCAAGCAACCTTGTGAGGCCCCTTTTTAATTCAAAGACAACAATATTTTTACATGCTTAATTGTAGACAAAATTAAGAGCTTCATGATATCAAGTCCATCTCTTGGTGAAAAGAGAACTTTCACATCAAGCACTGCAGTGAAGCTTTGGAAAGATATCGTTGATAAGCCATGCTGCCATGTGTTGATAAGCCTTTTGTGTCAAATGAACTCCATCCCAGCTGATGTGCTGATCAGGGTTTGGACAAACCGGAACGTCAGGAGCTCCACACATTCTCATCAGGCTAAAATTATGATCACCACCAGTCCCACAGCAAGCTTTTTGCATCGACTTCGTATCAAAACCTATTTAGAAAAAGAAGGAGACGATGCTGTAAGCCTTAATTTTGTGGTGGGCCCCGTATAGTTTCTCTACCATTTACAAGGATCTTGAAAATAAACTCACCAAGAGACCGAGCGTTCTGATAGATCGACATGAATGCT